ATATATAGACTTCATACTGTACATAAAACTTGCATAAATGTATTTTAAAGAGCGAATTTTCAGTATTTTCTGATGACATATATATAGAAGTATAAACATTTCCCCCCAAAAAATATTCCTGGGTGCACCCCTGGCACTTAGTATTTATTATTTGTAAAAAATATATTTTTACTTTCAAAATGTTTGTAATTTTAAACATTTCATGTGTATATTTTAGACAACTCATGTTCAAAATCAAATCTTGAACATCTTTTGCGTATACTTGAACAGATTCTTGTTGAAAAATAAACACTTTTCAGTAGTAGTGCTGCTAAAATATTTGGACCGCTATCACATCTCACTAAATCACTCATCACCTCCAAATGCGTAGCCTTTGTAGCAAAACAAATAAGGATGCCAATATAGCACTTGACTGGACCCTCATTGCGTACCTCTGACTTATACCCTTAATGTGTTCCATAACCTTTGGCTTCAGACGAAAGCACCTTAAGCATTTGTTGATTACACGGGCTACTGTCTTTCGCCCACCAACCGGCCAAAATTGTAATACATTTTTAATGAAAATGTTGAATGATTGCCATGGTAATGGGGTGTCGTTTTGGGTGGCGCGCTTCATAATCCAGCATTGAGTTTTCAAGGCGACCACCAACCCTTATTAGTCCGAAATTGTCAAGAAACGGATTGAGTGAGTATACTACGCTGGATGATTCAATGCTCCTTTTGGCCCTTAAAGTTTTGTACTCGGGAGCGAAGTGAAACTGGTGGATTAGGCGTAATAAAAGTTGTGTTCCAAGTTTGATGTCTTCAGGCGTAAGCGAGCCATACGTCTTTGATGTTGTGGGATCTTTCCCTACCATAAACCTTGAAACGTATGCAAAAACACGTTGCATGGTGCTGAATGAGTTTAGATACTTGCAGCGAAGTGAAATATCATCAAGGTGGATTGTTGCGGCTAGAGTAGTGCGCCGCCGTTCTGGCATGTCGATAAGAAAATCAGGTTCTGGTGGCCAGTCATTCTGATCTTTAAGTAAGAAGGTTGGACCGCGCATCCAAAGCTGCGAATTGAGAAGCTCACTTTGGGATGCTCCCCGTGACAAGGTGTCAGCTGGGTTGAGCGCAGTTGGAATGTGGTGCCAAGTCTGTATACGGCTAACCCTGTTGGAAACGAAGATATTGAAGTTTGAAGACTCCTCCCGTAGCCACTATAACACGTGGGTTGAGTCCGACCAACAGTGTATGCTGCAATCAAATATTTGTGTCTGCCTGACCGAGTCCAATAACTCAGCGAGTAGCAAGGCTGCGCATAACTCGAGCTTTGGTACGGTGAGAGTCTTTAATGGCGCTACTCTTGATTTCGAACATAATAGGCTGGTTCTGATTTCATCGATGTATTGCGCTCGAACATATACACATGCACCATACGCAGCTAGGCTAGCATCACAAAATGCATGAAGTTTTAAGTGAGAATTTGGCATTAGTACATATCGAGGGAAAAGAAAATTGGATACTGATTCAAGTTCCCCGCAGAAATCGGTCCAACTCTTGTGCAAGAGCTGTGGCAAACTTTCGTCCCAGTGAAGACGTTGCTTCCACATGCTTTGTATGAATATTTTTGCTTGAGTTAGAAATGGAGCAATGAGTCCTAGTGGGTCGTAAAACCGAGCTATTGTTGATAATGCGATTCGTTTGGTTACCTGTCATCTGATTTTGGGGCCCATACTAGTCCAAGCGCAGTGTAGCAGCGGCTCACGGTCAGATTCAGCCACTCCATTGAGAGATGCAGAAACGTTTGAGCACCACTTTCGAAGAACGAAATTTCCCCTGTGAAGTAGCTGTGTTGTTTGGCAACGAATTTCAATCACTTGTTCCAGGGTGTCTGCACCAGTGATGAGGTCGTCGCCGTAAAAATCTCGGCGAACAATCTATGCTCCAAGCGGGAAGTTTGCTTCTTCGTCCGTTAAGGCTACCTTGAACATACGAAAACGCAAAAGTGTGTTGAAGAGTTTAGGCTGAATGTTTGGACCAACCATGAGGACATCATTTAACGAAAATCCACTGGTCGATTTTGCGGAGCCATCGAACACGACTCGCAATTTCGTGGTTGTGCTGTCAGCCTAATGAACCCAATGATGCGGCAAAAAGAAATTTTTCTTTTGTGGTTCCAACCTTGCAGGTGACATGTGTTTCAGCTCAGCATATTCATTCATGAATGATGAGTACTGAGTTTTAATGCCGGGCTTCTGCTGCAGCTTTCTTTCTAAACTTAAGAAACGTTGCTTGACTTGTGTATGTTAATCGCCAAGATTAGTAGCGTTTTGATTTAACGGTAGTCGTACAGCATACTCACCAGAATCAAGCCGTATAATTTTTTTGAAAGTGAAGTTCGCCATTAATTTCTTCCTGCGATTTAGTAGCAGAACTGAGCAGCTCTCGTCTTCCCAGAATTGCTTGACAAGGTCATCGAGACTATCTTCGTCTTCTTCTGATTGAGAACGAACTGCAAATAAAGCCGATGATTTGTGGAAATGTAGTCCTCCACCAGTAGCGACCCATACTAATCTGGTCTTCTGCAAGATTGGACGGTTATAAGCTGACTTAATTTGGCCAACGCACATTAACTCGAAGAATACTGATACTTCCAACAAGACATGAATGCGTTGCGTTTTATAGAAAAGCGGATCTGCGAATTTGGTGTCTGGCGGAATGTTCCACCAATCGATGTTTAGGTCGAAGTTCAGATGGTGGTCGGTGATGGTGTTGGCGACGATAGCTTTAAAGGAGAAAGTGTAGTCATTACTATGTGCCCTTGCGAAAATGTCATCTGCCCTGTCAGCGACGAAATTGGATTCACCTATACGAGATATGGATGTGCTTATCTTTTTCGTTTCTAATTTTAATTGATTTGCCAGGCGCCATGTAAAAAAGTTTACCTGAGCGGCGGAGTCGAGCAATGCTCGACAGGGAATGTAACACCCTGTACGATTTTTGATATGTATAATTGCTGTTGCCAGTAAAACGAAGTTTTCTGAGGATGCAGCTGTGGCTGCACTCTCATCGAAGACGTTGGTGCCGTTCCAGCGCCAGTGTTGTCGGCCGAACGAAGCGATGTAGGTTGCTCACCTTTATGCATGTGTACCAATGGCCTTGGCGAAGACAGTTGAGACACAAGTGTAGGCGCTGGGCTTCCTTATAACGCGAAGGAGGTGATAAGTCTTCGAATTGAGAACATAAATTCAGTGACTAGTGGAATCACAAAACGAACATACGCTTGAAGATGTTTCAAGTGCCTTTCGAGAACTGCTGTTACCGCTAGGTGAACGTTTGCCTGCCACGGAAGTGCTGTTTGCTGCTGGTACTCTGGCCTCCACGTTTTCTAGCATGCGACACCTCTTCTCCAGTAACCTTATCGTAGATGTCCAAGTTGGAAGCGAATTTGTTGGTAGATCTTCTTCCCATTTGATTTTTGATTTTGTATCGAGCTTTTGAGAGATAAGGTATATGAGAAACCCATCAGCAATCTGCTCCCCCGTTGTCATCGTTTGTAAAGAGCGCAGATGTGCGTTTAGCTTGTCGCTGAAAGAGCGCAGACCAGAAGCGCAGCCACTCTCCACCCTTTTGAGCGCGAACATTTCTTTTATATGCGCTTGAAAGTCGAGTAGCTGGTTGCCAAACCGTTTCATCAAAAGGTCCGCTGCCTTGTCGTAGTTGGTATCACTTGGCTCCAAGGAACGAACTGTATCCAAGGCAGCGCCTCTTAAATTTGGCCGAAAATGTTGAAACTTTTCAGTTTTGCTTAACTCAGTGCAGCTATAATAACTGAGTTAAACATTGCAATGAAGTCTGACCATTCTGTATATGCAGAATTGAAGAGTGGAAGTTGCAATTCAGGAAGCCGGTTGCGTTGAGAAATAATAAACGATGGAGATGCATCATCGATTACGAATGGACGAGCTGTTAATGAGTGTGCAACGAGGGCCCTGCGTTAATTAAGTTCACGTGTGAGCTTGCCTTTAACCTCCATGTGTAACCTAACAAACGACCAACTGACTTCACTAGCGAATTCGCTATGATCCTCAGCTTCAAGGCAGGACTGAGCGTCGTTAAAACTTGAGCGAAGGCGCTCAACCAATTCCAGATACATAGCAATGTCCACCTCATCCAAGTTTCTTAAAGAGTCCGGAGAAAACTGCTGGTTAATGTGATCCAGTTGCATCTTTAACGACATCGTCCTCTTTTTATAAAGAGATAT